CTATTCTAAGTTATATAAAAAAAATTACTCATGCTGTAGTTTCAAAGCCAATTCAGTAGCTTTATTTTGAAATCAATTACAACTGATCTTACCATAATCAAAGTCTTTTTTTGGAATACGATTTTAAATTATCTATCTGCAAATATTGCAAGAACGATAAATTGTAAACATAGTAGTGGTTACTCTGAATCAGCTCATATGGATTGAGTTAATATTTTATGTGGTATGTGAATGGCGGATTTTGTGGGTGTCTTGAGAGTATTTTACCGAAGCCTATATACCTATATAGGTATAAACCTAATGCCTATTACGTAATCTGTTATCATTAAGGAAAGGTAGAGGTTTAGTCTAGGCAGTATATATTGCTATTACAATTTATCCCGAGTCGTGTATACTCGTATATTAATTTAACCTTAAATTTTCTCATTTGTTTTTTTATTTTTAGAGAAGCAAAGACCAGACGAGCTACTTAATGGAAAGCGGTTACCGTCGCCCATAAACACCTGCAAGACGAGAGGAGTTGTGTCGTCGCTTGTGCGTTGCCGGCCTCTTAAATATTTGTAAGCAGATTTTTTAAATTACCCATATTATTTTGTAAATCGAAAACCGAATACTGTATTAAAATTTACTGTAACAAGTACGAGTATTTTTTTTTAATAGGTGAATATGGAATGATAACCCTGCCCGCGCTATCTGTATACACCGACGAACCACCAGTGAAAGATGATAGGTGAAAATGAATGCAGGTCAGTTGGCCCACCATGATGAATTCGATAAGAATTAGCCATGATATTTTCTAGCGAGAACCGCGTGGAGGTCGACCTGATAGGGTGTATTGCTAGCAATGGGTCAATTAGACCCCATTACTAACATTCCCTTTTCTCCTGGGTTATTAATTTAATACCCCTACTAACAGGTAAGGGTATTAAATTAATACCCTTAGGTTGTTTCTTAAGATTTCCTGTATTCGAACAGCAATTAGTGAGCGTCCGTGGAATTAGACTCGACAATTTTTAACTTCTCAATATTAGTTTAATACTAACTTTTACGCGCAATTTTTCCTGCATGCTCTGGATATGTATACTATTTATACTGATCCGGATAAAAAGTAGCTTATATTCCTTTTCCATTCCAGTAGCAAATATAAAAAAAAATAACAAATACAACTGAAATGAGAACTTCCTTGTTTTGGAAGTTATCTAATAATTTCAAAACAGACCCATCTCCTTTGATGTCCAGCACATTAACACAGTTTGTTGCGACCTGTCAGCCATTTCAATTAATGTAACCACCGATGCGATTGGTACATCCTAAATGGGTATATTTGCATTTGACAGAGCGTTATTGGAACGTTGATAAATATTTATGCGACGATGGGTTTGAAATTTGAAACATAATATTGTGCGTGATAATTGTGCAATGTCAAATGAGTTCGGTGTCAGTCTTGAATGACGTCAGTTTGTTGTTGAGTTTGGTGTCATTCAACAATGACACTAAAGACATTTGACATTTATCACGGCGCAATTATCACGCACAAAATGAGCTAAGAAAACTGTTATTATTCTAGTAAATTTTATAGCATTGCTAAATTAAAATATATTAGATTCAAAATATACACAAAATACTAAAAAAAAAGAAGAACAAATACTAGACTCCGAGCGGGGATCTAATTCTTAATTCTTAAAAATGTCTCACATAGAGGTGAAATAAGTTTTTTTATGCAACTTAGAATGGCAAACAAGCTGACGGTCCACCTGATGGAAAGTGGTAATCGTCACCTATAGACATGAACAGTGCCATGGACATAACAGAGTATACTGTTTCGCCCAAGATACCTCCCATGCGTTGCTGAGGACTCAGGAGGCGTTGCTGTAATTCGTCTGTACCCTGTAAATTCATTGCCATGCCACCCTTCAAACCGAAACAGTCATGCAAACACAACTGCTTCACGGTAGAAACACGAATGAGATAGAAGTGCCCAAGCAAACGACTTTTGTACAAAGTCTCCTTCTGTGCCAATAGCCAATTGTGCATATACAAAATGCTAGGCGAAAATTGATGGCTAATATGGAAGGTTGTGGAACTTCTGGTAGTAATAGTGGTGGTCAATCTTCGAGTGTTGGCAGTCACATACATACTAGTGGTAGCGGAATTAAACAAAATAATTCTGATTAAATAACCAGTAATGGTTTTAACATTCTCCGGTAAACACATTAGTAAACATATTTAGGTCAATTGCAGCTTTGGAATGAAATAAAAATAATAGGCCAATAAAACCCCCCTTATTTTAGCATTGAAATTAATAGATTCCATTCCGCAATCGCGGACTTAACGATGTGATAAAATAGAAATTTCGTTTGGCAACTCGTAAAAGACTTGTAGAATTATTTGAATTTTAAATTTATACGATTGTCGACTTTAATTTGTAATAAAGTTGAATTGAAAATAATTTTATAACTGGTTTGATGGATTGACGCGTTATTCAATTACGGTGTACGTCACAGAGAATTTCATCTCGATTTAATACATTGTATTTAAGGATATTTTTACTTAATAAACAAAGTATTAATTATTCAATAATCCATCGGGAAGCCTCTGGAATTTCCTCGGTATTTGAAGTATTCAACGGATTCCGAGTATTTTGGATAATTTTCAATTACATAAACTACAGTGACCGTTTACCATCAGATGGGCAATGTGCTTATTTATTATCTTTGTACACAATAATGGTAGTATAAAAAAATATTATCATTTTTAGGGATATGCTTGATAAAATTTGGAACTTTTATATTGTTAGGGTTTGTAATTTTATTTGATACTAGCAGCCCGTCTCGACGTCGCTCTGGTGAACATTTCTACATTTTAAAAAGTGGCCATTACGACTGGGCTGCACTCACGACGGAAGCTTAAAAATGGAGTAATTTCTCCCGTTTTCCCAACATTTCCCTTCACTGCTCTGCTCCTATTAATCGTAGCGTAATGATAAGTATATTATAACCTGCCCAGGAGTATGAAGAATAATTGTACCAAGTTTCGTTAAAATCGGTCGAGTAGTTTCTGTTTCTATAACGAACATACAGACAGACAGACAAAAATTTTACTGATTGCATTTTTGACATCAGTATCGATCACTAATCACCCCCTGACAGTTGTTTTTGAAATACATTTCATGTACAGAATTGACCTCTCTACAGATTTATTATAAGTATAGATAAATACAATGATTTGTAATATTTTTGTAAATTTATGAAGGTAGTTGCGTTTTTTGTTTTATTTTGGCATTGTTCATGTGACGGTTATCATTTTCCAACAGGTACACTGTTAATTTGTTTGCCATTCTAAGTTGCATAAATAAAAAAAAAAAGATTTTGCTTGTCAAATGAAGTTGAAGATGTCAAAAGAAGCACACCAAGTCGACCACCAGCGTCATTCTATTAGGAGGAGCGAAACGTGTTAGATGTGTTTTTGTTACATATAAATTGAACTGTAAATAGTGAAATATTTTTTTTAATTTAAATGAACTAATTATAATGTTATATTTAGATATTTTGTTTTAATTAGTTTAATTACATACATATCTGTCACGCCTGTCTCCCATTAGGGTAGGCAGAAACAATGGAACGCTAAATGCTTCGATTCAAACAAACCTCTTTCGCTTCTTCCATATTCATCAGTCTTGTCATACACGCTCGCCGGTTACGGGTACTTTTAATTTGGCCCTTCTTCAGCGCGTCGCCTATTTGGTCGACATACGTCCGTCTAGGGCGGCCCCTACCGACATCTCCATTCATTCTTGCTCGATAAATCTCTTTCGTAATTCTTCTTAGTTTAATTAGTTATAATGTTTTAAAGAAAAGATTTAACGGAATAAATGAATAAATAACATTTTGTGGAATTGTTCATTATTATAATATTTACAGATAAACTACAGGAACCAACGTAGTACTGAGAACGTACAAGTTGAAAAGGCAATGGGACAATCGTGTAGCTGGACTAGTAGAGAAGAAAAGCAACTCGAGTAGGGCGACTCTGTGACGGCAAGAGTAATCTAGAGCCACCCCGCGCGGAATGGAGAGACGGTGTTTAAATATTGCAGGAAGCCACTTGCCTCGCAAGGATCGTAGTTTGTGGTGAAATGGAAGTACAGTGTGCAACAGATGATTCGTAATGTTGATGATAATGATTATCTAAGATTGAATCTTACATTAACTACATTATCATTTCAGTCATTTGTCTACTTTTTATCTAGTAGAGGGGTCCTACACTGCGTTTGCCCGTACGGGGTCGCCACTCAAGAACCTTTCCTTCCCATCGGTTGTCGGTTCTTTGAGCTATATGACTAGCGCAATGCCACTTCAGCTTGCTTTTCCTTCTATTCTATAAGAACATATTATACCCTTATATTGTTTTGCCTTGCCGTGTGGTCCCGGCATAGAATAGGCCATCTCTTACTTTCCTGTAGGTGTCATAAGAGGCGACTAAGGGAGAGAATAGACAGGAGCGTCTTTTAAAACATCATTAAAGTCTAACTGCAGTTTCTAATCCGCCTGCCAAGCATGGCAACTACTAGTAAAACACCTCAAGGGGAGGCTTACCTTCAACAGTGGTCAGTTAATCCTTCTTTGCATGATTTTTTTATTGGTGAAATAAATCAAGGTGATATAATTCATGTTCAAAATTAAAGGAAAAATGGATAAACAATAAATTTGACAGCTATGTTTTTTTTTTCTCTGCAATGGACATTAAAAAGGTATCCAGATACGATCGAACTTAAAGTGAACTTTTTTTTTTTTTTACAACACAGGGGGCAAACGAGCATGCGGCTCACCTGATGGTAAGTGACTACCGCCGCCCATGGTCACCCACAACACCTACGGCATTGCAGGTGTGCTGCCGGCCTTTTAAAAAGGAATATGCTCTTTTCTTGAAGGTTATGTCGTCGTATCGGTTCGGTTCTTATTCTTTTATATAATTTTTGGGCATTCAATATTATGCAAAGAAGGGTTAAAGGCTGATATGATGATACCTTTATTTTATACTTATATCTGTAAGAACTCATTAAGGTCTCACAGCTGGGCACGGATATTATTAGTCCACTAGAACCACGCTGTCAAGACGGTTTGATTTAGTGTTTTATTTCGAGTTTTCCTGTTCTTACACTTTTGTAGCCATTTTTCTTGTTCCTTAGTTGCCTTTTGCGACGTTTCGAGGATAAAAAGGAGTCGTGACAGATTGTATTTTTAGATGTAATTATAAACAAGCTCTATCAATCTTAATAATATAATAAAACTAGCGACCCGCCCCAGCTTCGCACGGGTGCAATACTGATACTAAATATGCCTACCTACTACAGAATGTCCTAATAAACAACGTTTACAGCTTTTTTGTTATTAGACAATACAAAGATGATAAGGTGCTATAGAGCGTGCAGGCTTCGAAACACTATTATATAGGTACGCGCCGCCGGGCGAGCCGGTAAAGCAAGTAATAAATGAGTATATTTATTACTAAAAATGTTATTTTTTATTACAAAAAATAATATTTTATTTTAAAAATGGATAGAAGTTTAAAATTCTTTATTCTCTTTCTCAATCCGAATAGCACTATCAAAAGTGGAATATCTGCTAGGATTGTATTTTATATCCAACTCGTATGCTTTGGACTCGGCTTTGCTCATCATGTACCGAGTAAGAAGTTTGGCGGCTTGCGAGCCAACGTACTGGAAATAAATATTATAAGTTTAATATTAATTAATATACATATATAGTTAACAATAAGAAAAAATATATAAATCTAATAATATAGTATGCACGAATTGAAACATTCTCTTAATGAAAGTAACTTAAAAACTATCAATTTACCAATCCTTAATAAATGTGAAATAGATAGATAGATAATTTATTTGCATTATTTATAGCACGCAAACAATAATAGACATAAAGGCACAGTGAAAAAAGATAAAAAAAAAGATACATGTACAAAAAAATAAAAAAATAAAAACAAAATGCATAAAATTAGTAACAATTTTTTCCCTTCATGCTTGTGTCACAGTAACACAAAATGGTCACAACTCAGCTTAATGCTTTGCCCTAAAAAGAGCAAAACACGGAAATTCTATATATTCCAATCTGTGTATTCCAATACCGTTGTATTAAGCTATTGGATGTCTTTTTTTTTTAAATATAGCATTTAATCAAATTACCTCTCTAGAGTCGTACAGTTTTCTCCATTGCCTTACTGTAAAGTCTCTGGGTCCAAAATCTTTCTTCGGACAGAATAACGCCCAGCAATCCTGTACAACATCGACGTGATATTTATACAACTAGCAACTTTTTTCGACTACTAATTAAGTTCCTTCTCCTTAATCAGTCTATTTATAGAGAAATTGAAAGTATCATAATTTAAAATTATAATAGCTTCTTTTTGCAAGTATCCCCTTACACTATAGTTACAATGTGGGGCATTAAAAAAATGTGCCTACAATTTAAAAGGCAGTCAAACTTGCGATCGTATCATAGCCGCTCACGATTAAGGGTCCCGAATTAGCCCCGAAACTAGACAGGCTTTCTTGATCTAATCACATCTACCTTAAACTGGTAGTTATTACATTAAAATTTAAAAGGATGGTAACGCAAAGGCAACTCTTCTCGTGTTGCAAGTGTTCATTGGTGACGGTTTTCGCTTCTCAATTAGGTGGACCGTTTGCTTATTTGTCTCACTAACAATGAAAAATAATATTGTACTCATATTGTTTCATTAATTTGACAAATAAATAATAATAAATAAAACTAATTTTTATTCAATAAACTTAATAGTAAGTATTTCTGAATATATATATTTTTCAAAATCTACTGCCCAATTCGGAATGCAATTTCAGATGAGAAGAACGGGCAAGACACACAGCTATTGCTTTTTTCAAATAAGAGTTAAATAAAAAAAAATTACTTGATAAAATGACTATCACAAACTTCGTATTGATAAAAGAAAGAAAAAAGATACAACGTTACAATCAATCACAGTTTTCTTAAACAGACCAGTCCCTACTAGAAGCACCCGTTCACGTTCACGAATATGGTTGTGTTCAACCATATTATAGGGAGCCTAATGACCCGGCCTATATTAAAATATTTGTTACTTATTCACGCTTATTTTTTTTTTTATACCACAAAGGTGATAAACAAGCATAACAGCTCGTCTCATAAATGATCACTTTTGGTCTAGTACTGCTCATGTCTATAGGCGACGGTTACCACTTTCCATCAGGTGGGCCGTCAGCTTGTTTGCCATTCTAAGTTGAATAAAAGAAATACAATAAAAAAATAGGTACCAAAGAAAATTTAACTACTCACGTTTCCAGCATTTTTATTTTTAACAATGGCGTGAATCAATCCCAAAAATATGGGTGTTAAGACTAAAAGAAATGACCATTTCATTAGTGGGTACATTTCAAAAAATTTTATTTGTTGCAATACTTCTTCCAGTGCGTCGAACAATGTGTAAATTTTTATCTGTAAAAATGAATTAGTGAATAACGTGTGATATATTTTGAACACATCCAAGGATTATTTTTAAGCATAATTTGGAAAAATTTTAATCCAACATATTGCTCTCTTAAATCTGAAAAAATGTTTTGTTTTAACTTATAAAATATATATACTAAAATTACTGTAACGGTATACGCTGGCAGGGTACCAGTTAGGGATGATAGGTGAGAATGAAAAGACAGGTCAGTCAGCCCATCGTGGCGAATTGCACTAGAATTAACCACGATGGTTTCTGGGGGGAATCACGTGGATGTTGACCTAATAGGGTATATTGCTTGTAATGGGGCAGTTAGATTTTATTACTAATAATCCCTTTCCCCCAAATAACATATTTTTATCCATTAAAAAAATTAAAATAAACACTTACCGTGTAAAATATGGGAACGAATCTTAGATTTAAAATTCTAAGTTTACTTGGCGCCACGCCGTGATGAAAGGTAATGTCATCGACCAATCTTCCCAAGGGATATAAAATATATATACCAATAACTTCAGCTAATGTTACTATACTTTTACTGTATACGAGAAATATCATACGAGTCTGAAAGCATATTTAATTTATTAATTGGCGTCAGTTGATAATGACAAAAACTTAGACGATTTTTGAGTTAGGGGACGTTCAAGTATTATGTTTTACAATTTCTGAATATTTTCTACCCTCCCCCCTCCCTCCAACCAAGTAATATTGTCGTAATATTTGTCTGTACCCCCTCCCGCTTCTTAAACGTTATTTAACACCCAAACGACCACTTTTATATATATATATATATATATATATATATATATATATATATATATATATATATATATATATATATATATATATAGGCCAAATAATATATAATATATATAATCTAAACGAGGTATTAGGTAATGAATTTTCCTGAATTTATTCGGATCTGGGTACTTTGGAGAATGCTCCCAGATGCGCATTACCTTGCCTGGTTCCTCACAGCACAGGGTTTTACATATATAGATAGATTTATCCCAATAATTATAAACTTTTATCTAAATAACAATAAAGGATTTTATTTGCTAATAATAATAAAACATACTATGATGATTAGTACATTATGATGCTAGCAAAATACCCTATAAGGTCGACCTCCACGCAGTTCCCCCTTGAAACCATCGTGATCAATTTACTATTGAATACATTACGATTGGCCAACTAATCTGCTTCATTTTCACCTATCATTCCTTATTACTTCTTACTGGTGCTCCATCAATGTAAACAATTAACACAAGCGGAGTTACCATTCCATTATCACCATCAAAACAAAAAAAAAAAGAATCTTATTCTAAATTTAAACTGCATACTCACGTCAATAGTGGACAAATAATATGGTATAATACCACCCACGATAATGGTACATGTAAGTGGCATTCTTTTGACCATTTTCCATTCACAAACTATCGCTTCTATTAGACATTCGTATGTAATAATCTGCAATGAGTAAATAATACTATATCCCAGTGTTTTTATTTTAATATATAATATACATTGAATATACTATCTGGCTATATGGTTCCGGTATAGAATAGGCCACCCATTCCTTTCCCATGGGTGTGGTAAGAGGCGACTAAAGAAGGGCGAGGGATGGGCAGCAGCATCTCTCTTAAAACAGCCAAAGCCTAACTGCGGTTGCCAAGGGGAAACGGATTGTTAGTAATGGAAACCGAGAATTCCATTGCTAGCGATACACCCAACCACGTCGACCTCTCGCGGTTCCCCCTAGAAACTATCACGATTAATTCCTGATGAATTCATCATGATAGGCTTACTGGCCCATTTTCATTCTCATCAATCACTTTTCACTGGTGCCTCGCCAGCGTATCCCATTAGTACAGGCGGAGTTACTATTAAATTTTCACTCATCAAAAAAAAAAACTGCGGTTGCCAATCCGCCTGCCAAGCGTGGGAACTACTGGTAAAACCTTCCAAGAGGAGGCTTTTGTTCAGCAGTGGCCGTTTAAGGGCTGATATGATGATGATGATGAATATACTATTATCATCAACATCTCAGTCATTATCTGACCACTGCCGAACATATGTCTCCCCGATGGACTGTGTGACGGTTCGCCTATGGTACAGTAGGTTTAATACCATAAGTACATAAAAGAAACAGGGGTTCCTATGGGTGACCGCTGCGAGGGCTGAGCTATTTAATGTAAACAAACTTTAAAGTCGGGGTTCACAATAGTGTACAGAGAAGACGTTACCATATATGAAATATTGACACGGAAGGGAGGCTCCTTTGATGTGTTTCCAAAGTGTAGTGGATGTCACAAGAAAATTAAATAAATTAAACAAAAATATATTATATTTTATATATAACCAAATTATAGTTTACCTTTTTATCATCAGGTGTAAAAAAGATACATACAACACAGTTTAATAAGGTTTATGAGAGCCTTTCAAGTTTTATAAATTCGATAATCAATTTAATATAAAATACCAAAATACGTTAACATATAATTAAATTGAATTTAAAGAAAAGTTCAGTTCGAATAATAGGCTAAATCTGATTATTGAAATATCTACCCTTCGGTGACATAATCTGTGACGTTATTGGAGAAAGAATAGAAAAAAAAAAAGAAAAAAAAAGGGAGGGACGGCAGAACGGCGGGCGCGCGGGAGTCGGTTTTTAGGAATTGCGCAGTAAAAGAAAAAAGAAAAAAAAATGGCGCGGGAGTCGTGTTTTAGGAATTGCGCAATAGAAATAAAAAACTAACTGGGATATAGATCTAGGAGGGACTGGATCGATGAAGGGGTTTGAGACCTTAGTGTATCACTATCGATTAAGAGTGTGAAATTAATCAATGGAAGACTGGAGAATCCGGTGAGCTTGTTCCATTTATTACTGCGTAGTTAGATTTTTGACTGTGATCGCAGGCAATGTCTATACTTAATATTTCCACCAACTATTGAAATACATATTTACTAGAGTCAATACAAGCTTAGGTAATGCGTTTAATCTTTAAATGTTATCACATTTGATAAAATTTTGACTTCAATATAACGATGATGATGAATAATCTATATGATGATATATACCTATGTTATTCTATTCATATACAAAACTCTAATTAGACATTTGTTTAGTAGAACTTTATCACTTTGATTCAGTGAAGCTGATGTAAACTTAGGTTCCACTATTACAAAATTGTTGTACTTGTTTAGATTTGGAGATTACTTTAGGAATTAACTATCAAGCTATTATAACACCTATATAAAGACAGCTTATTGTTTAATATAAAATTATTTATTGATAACGGTCAGGCAAGCAAGCAAAGTTATTATAGGTTGATCAGGGAGTTAGTGGATGCAGGAGTCTCGGGCCGTTCCTTGTGGTAGTGTGTGGAAATTGCCTGTGTTCAGTCGTGGATTAATGATGGTTGAGACGATGATGATGATGGAATAGTTGTATTTATTACACTATTACAGTGTTGGTTTGGAATTTCTGTGCATGCTTAACGTCCCATGGTGAAATGTTTTCATACCATTGCTCGGTCGACTGAACTAATAATTCTTTTGTATACTTCTAATTACCCATGATTACATGTGGGGATTTGTTTTACACCAGATGTACAAAGAAACAGCTTAACTGATGCATGTAATATTATGTGAATGTAATACTTTTAATACATTATTAATTGTGTTATTAGATAAATTCATGTGACTGTGGGGTGTTTATGGTAAACAAGCCTGTATTGTTTAAATAGATATTTTGTCTTGATTTATTATAAACTTTAATATTGATTTTATTGTAGTGAGCAAGCTGACAATAACAACTCTTTGTATATTACTGCTTTTAATAATATTTAATTATATTGATATTATGGGTGTGGATTTATTTCCTAATGGTAATAAATGTACTAAAGGATTCTCTGACTATAGTTATTCTTAACTAGGTATGAGATACAGTATAAAATTAGTACTAAATGACAAGTATGAGTTATGTATTTTACTCATATTTAGAAAGGAAGTTGTCCTGGCGATAAGATTTGTATGTGTGTTGTTTGTTCATGTTATATTGACTAGACAAGTTCAGACAGGGTTAAAATTAGTGAATCTTTATTGGATTTATATTTAATAGACATATTTTGAATATTTATGGGAATAGAATGGAGATATACAAGTAGTAAAATATAATATTAGTATTTTATAAATTTCATTATTGAGTTATATGTTTATGTCGGACTGTATCCAAGGAGATATTATCCTATTAATATCAAGTTAGGACAATTACTTTAAATATTAATAAAGCAAACACTAACACTGATTATTCACTTCTTTAATAAATTTACATTAGAGGTTAGGAATCAAATAGATAGCATATTGGGAAATCTTCACCACACATGTATTTGAGGAATGTTCTTGATAATTAGTACTGTATGTATATATTATTGCAAGTACAATTGCAATAAGAATGTTAAACTTCTAATCTTCTGTTCATTCTTGAATTTGAAAGTAAGCTTGGCTACTGATATGAATATAAAACTGCAGCATTACTGGATACTATTAATTATTTCTGGTGTAAACCATGATTATTTATGTCACTGATAATTTAGTTGTATATTACGGTTGATATATGATGATTTTATATTTAGTTATATTAAACAAATACAAATAAACAAACTTGCTAGTATTTGTTACGTTGACAGTTGTGATAGATAATCAAAATTCAATTCAATACATCAATACGTCATTCAATACGTCATTAATGTGACAGATGTCAAACAAAAGGAGATTATACACGTTATGATTCTATATCTAAGTCTATAGAAAATTTATATAATTTTCTGTTATTTTATAATAACTGTAGGGGAAATATTGGAATTATTTATATGAGAAATTTCACTTAAATGATATGATAATTATTTAAAGACCTAATTTCTTAGGGATTTAATCATGATGATTTAAACACTAAAACACTTGTTTATCTGAGAAATCCTCTTAGTAAATAGGTTTACTAAGACACTAAAAGGAAGTAGATATAGTATAACTATAGTACAGCTACAATAATTGTATGGGACTTACTGTCCTTTCTATACAAATATATATTTAATCTATATCTTTCACATTATAATTATGCAATATATTGCCTCTACTACTACAACAAACACAAATAGGACTTATTGTCCTTCCTATATACCTATATATTATATAATAATTGACCTGGCACTTTAATGTGTAATTTATCAGTACTTATGGCAACAACCAATTAGGACTTATAGTCCTCTCTATAAAGCTACATAATTATTTAATCTGATTATTTCACAATGTGATTAATCAAACCTCTACAAATATTACAAAAGATCTCTATTACTCTCAACACAATAATAGCTTGTTGGACTTAGTGTCCTCAAACTTATAGAAAACCCAACTGGTTATTTCACGAGACGTTGTTAACTTGTGATTAATCAGTGTCTTTTAAAGGACTTATAGTTCCTTTAGATATATCTCTCTGAATAAATAATTGGTTAATTCACAATGTGGTTAATCAACAATAATATTATATATAATTGACTGGACTTATAGTTCATTCAATAGCACTCATTACTTTTAGTAGCTCTCGACCTATGGGTTGGACTACTCGTTCTTAGGCTCCGGCCTAATCAACAGAGTTAACTTGAACCTTGAGTATTCTTGGTATTAAGTAAATAATATTAAATTGACAATGCTATGTTATGATATAGCAATTATCAACATTATATGGCTTGGCCAATTCCAGGGTGTGGAAGGTATCCCCTATCACACAAATCTTCATCTCTATCGGACTGTCTTCACAGGTGATCTCTAATGTCACATTATAGGGCCGAAGGGTTATGTCCCAACAAAGTAGGTTCTGGTGTCTGGGTGATCTCGCTTCTTGGTCTGATCTCTTGTGGAGCCGAAGGGAAACCCCCATTGAGTAAGCTCGTAACAGGGTGACGCTGGGAAACAGTTTCGTACTGTTAGTGGGTGATCTCTATGTCGCCATATAGGACTGAAAGGGTCATCGCCCATGAGTAAGCTCTCGTGTCGGAGTGATCCTGGGATTTCAGTTCTGATCTGTTTGCCTCTGGCAAACACTAATTTATACTGGAAGCATCGTGGGGCTGGTGGAGCCACTGTAATGTTGAATTAAATGTACTTATGTTTGGTTTGGAACTGAGAATACTCATTCCCTTATTACCATCAGAGTGCATTAATAAATAGTAATACCCTTCCCTACCTTTTAGGAGGAAGAGTTATAGATAGTTGGAAAGTCTTCCACTGGTCCGGGCGTGTGAGGGGCCCGACCGCTCCCCCATTTTTTTATTATTACAGTTATTCTGTAATTTACTATTAAATTAACATAACTTCCACTTACATGAATTATGAGTATAATTCATTAATCATTCTTAATCCTTAAATATTTATCAATCATCTTCATTATTTAACTCCTATCATATACCAATTAAAGAACCTTTTGGTTATTACACACACAACGGGTCCTACATTACTAGACGATCACACATTTATTTATCTGGCCAGATGATCAAGTGTTCTACTAAAGATCTGTTCAATATTATGTTTTATTTTAAGGGTTTATATGATTCATAGGATATTTGGGGTGTATAAGGCAATATAGGTATGGGGTTATATTGAGGGTGTTAGCCCATTCTTTAGGGTGAATTTTCATTAGATTTTCATAGATTTCATTAGGTTAAGCCTTCGTAGGCTTTTCTTAGGCTTTGTAGCTTTTCCATGTGTAGCTTAGTTTAGAGGGTAGTTATTATAAGGGGTGCAAAGGGGGGGGACCATCACAACTGCCATAAGAAACGGTTTCGAGCTACCTGTATCCATCCGTGTTTCTACCGTGAAGCAGTTGTGTTTGCATGGCTGTGTTTCGGTTTGAAGGGTGGGATATGGCGTGAATTTACAGGGTACAGAGTAATAACACCTGAGTCCTCAGGAATGGCAACGCATGGGGGGGTATCATGGGCGAAACAGAATACTCTGTTATGTCCATGGTACTGTTCATGTCTGTAGGCGACGGTTACCACTTTCCATCAGGTGGGCCATCAGCTTGTTAGCCATTCTAAGTTGTATAAAAAAAAATCACTGACTCTCTGCAATGCATTTAAGGTCGTCACTCCATCTAGTGGGGGAGTCATCCTACACTGCGATGGCCAGTACGAGGTTGCTATTCAATAACCTTTCTTCTGAATAAACTATATTATATAAAAATGTTAATATAAAATAAACAAAAAAATACATTTTTTTATTTATTTTTATTTATTATATAGGAATTTAGAACCAGAGAAAGAGACAAAATAGTTCAACAGCTAAAATAGTTTTATTAGAGATTTGACGTTTTTATAAATAAGGCAGTAAATCCATAAAGTAACGTAGGTAGGGTTTATATCAGTAGTTTACTACCTACCTACATCAATTCAAGTTAAACATAATGGAATATTAATGTTATGGTAGACATTGGCGTTGACTGTGAAAATAATTCTCTGTTTTATATAAATATATACCTAAGATATAATATTCCTGAGGACTCAGATGTTATTCCTCTGTACCCTGCAAATTCACGCCATAGCCCATCCTTCAAACCGAAACACAGCCATGCAGACACAACTGCTTCACGGTTGAAACACGTATGGGACAGAGGTACCTAAGCAAACGACTTTTGTACAAATTCTCCCTCCGGTAAATTAACGATTACGATGTCCCACAAAAACAAAACAAAAAAACTACAGTTGTGATAAAACCAGTTATTTTGATTTAAAAATTAATCTATTGAATCGATTTTATTAAAATTTCTGTTTGACCAAACTACATACGTAAGTACATCCTATCAGATAAAAAGAAAGAATTTTCCAAATCGGTTAACAACTGATGGAGTTATAATGTAACAAATAGAAAAAAAATACAACCAAATTGAGAAACACCTTCTTTTTGAAGTTGGTTGAAAAGAAAAATATTTAATTGAATATTTCGATTTATTATTGTATACATTTTTAAATATCGTTTCAGTACTAATTTCAACAAAATTTATATAATGTCATATTTTTTTATTAAGTTTTATTGAAATACATATAATAATATTGAGTGGATATTTTTATTTTACAACACAGGGGGTAAACGAGCATGCGGCTCACCTGATGGTAAGTGACTACCGCCGCCCATGATCACCCACAACACCAGCGGCATTGCAGGGATGCTGCCAGCCTTTTAAAAAGGAATACGCTCTTTTCTTGAAAGTTATAATGTCGTGTCGGTTCGGAAATACTACTGCTGGAACTTGATTCTAAATAGTGATTGTGCGTGGTGAATAGTGCCCTGAAAAATGCAACGGCGGAGGACCGCCACTCATCCAGATGGTTGTGATGGAATTTTAATTTGTGGCGGGTATTTGGCATTTCTGTCTATTCAATGTTAAATATGTTTTTTTACTTGTAGAAATTACGCCAATTTGTTTGCTATCTATATGTATATATACTAAGTGTAATAAGAAATTGTTTGTCTCCTAAATAACATAAAATATAAATATATTATTTCTCTTCAAATTTTTTTTCTTTAGTCCTAGTATTTTTATTTTCTTTTTAATATGTGGTACAATGACAACTTCCATTAATTATATATAACCTTTAAGACGTAGAAGAACATAAATAGATCACTCACCACAACGAATGTTTCCACTAAAAAGTTAAGAAGGAAAAACACATTCGTATAAATATTCCCCAAGTAGAAACTCGAGAAATACATTGGCCAGAAGTATAAAAAGGAATGTTGGTCTGAAAAAAAAAAAATAGTAAATGCAATATTTAACGTATTCAGTATGAATTATGTACAATAAAGATTTTACAATACAATTTCCGGTTTGAGTAACAAATTTGGACATAGATTCTTGTTGTTCTAAACTTGTTGTTCTTTGCTATAACTCACAGTATTTCCTTTATGGAACAACCCATGTAGTTATTTCTTGGTCTTCTCCTTCTTTTTTGGCTTTTTACTTTGAACTTTTTAAATTACTTATTAATGTTATTACGATGAAAAATGAGCGAAAACTTACTAAAATCAGTTAGATATATAGGAGCTCCTGTCAACGCTTCGCAGTATTTTTTTTTCTTGTAAGACAGTAATCCTCTAAATATAAAATATATGGCGTTCGACATTAAAATCACTGCGCTGTCTCGACTTGGTTCGATCTGAAAATTAAGAACATTGTATTTTATCTACTGACATAGACAATATTAGGGTCAAACCCTACGAGGAGGGAGTATCGTGGCTTAATGGTAATTTAAACAAAAGGTCGTAAGGTTCGAATCTTGCCAACACCAAACAGTTTGTGTCTCAATTAAAAATACACTTCACATGTAGGAATGTGGCAATTTATTCCTCGAAAATTCTAAAGTATGAGGAATGATTGGCTTTGGAATAAAACCCCTGTAGATCTACGCAGAGCATCAAGTAAAGAAATTTTTAAAAGAAGACTTTTTAATTATTTGTTGAGTCAACAAAACCAGTTCTAGTTACAGGTCACTCAATAGTTATTATATCTCATAATGCTTATCGTTATTTTAATTTATGTATATGTATGTATATATTTCATATGTATTAGTTTATCCATATATATTAAAAGTAATGTTTATGTATTATATGTGCATTTCTTATGTGTATATTATATTTATATTGTGTATTGCCTTAATGTGTTACTATAATTGTCACATATTTTTCACCACATCTGCCCTTCGTACGCTTTCTATTTTTACCCAATGGTTAGCTGGTAGAGAATGCCATATGGCATTAAGCTCGCCATTTGTACAAAATTTTATTGTGCAATACAGAATAAATAAATAAATAAATAAATGATTTAGCATGTCTATGACTTTGGATATTCTATTGGCATATTTAATGGAAGAGGGGACAGACTCTTAAAACATCACTAAAGCCTTACTGTTGTTGCCAACCAGCCTGCTAAGCGTGGCAACTATTAGCAATACCTTCCCTACAGGGGAGGTATATTCAGGTTATTAATTTTCAATTCGCTTCAAAATTATTAAAGATTGTGTCCCACAAACAATCGACTTCAGTTACATCAAAACTTGTTATTTTGATCTAAAATCTAACCTATTTAACCGAATTTGATAATAATACTATGAGACCGATTTGAAAGTATATCTAGATATATAGATTCAAAATATCCTTCGGTATCCTATTATAACATTTAACATCCTTCTAATTTATTACACACTTCTCCATTTACCTCGTCAACACTTCTAGCTGTCAAGATATGAACGACAGGAGGCGTAGTCATAGACTCTGCTAGCATATCAACATCGGCTTTCTAAAAATAATGATGAGAAATTAAATAAAACGAAGTAAACTCAAATATAGGGAGAAAAAAGCTAACAGTGAAACTTTTTTTTCGTTTGATACTAGCTTTTACCCGCGACTTCATCTGTGTGACTGGGACATTATGTTCACTGGCTGGAATAAAACGTAGCCTATGTCTTCTTCAATCCATATAGTAAATGAAATTTCAAAGTGATTGGTTAAGCCGTAATTTTAGACACCAAAGGGTGATACGGTATCACCCTTTGGTGTCTAAAATTACGGTATAGTAACCCCATCTGTACAAGGGGAAAGGGATTGTTAGTAACACGGTCTAACAGCCCTATTGTTAGCAATATACCCTAAGAGGTCGATCTTTACGCAGTTTCTCCTGGATATCATCATAGTCAATTCTTGTGAGATTCCTCACGATGGGCTAACTGACCTGCTTTTATTCTCACCTATCATCTCTCACTGGTGCACTACCAATATAAACCGATAACTTAAGCGGAGTTACCGTTCCAATTCACCCATTTAAAAAAAAACATATGTGGCAGTGGCAGCAGGAAATGATAAGTAAGGATGAAAGCAGGTCAGATGGATGAACCATCTGACGAATTCGACAAGAATTAATCACGACAGTTTCCAGGGAAAACCGCGTGAAGGACAATCGGTATATTCGCCTTGGTCCCGTCTATAATATTAGTATAGACGAATAAATAATAGGAATAATACTTGCCCACATTTTTTGAGTCAGCTCGTCGACAGTACTGGTTATTTCTGGCCGTCTATCCAAATGTCCTAAGAAGGAGTCCAAGACGAGATGCACGAAAACGGCCATGTACATTATATTCAGTGCCAATTGAACTCTGTACAAGTGCTGAAATTGATTTTCGAGAGACTTCAACAAGAAGGGAGGTACTCAACTCTGTTATACTTTTTTTTATGTTTGTTACCTTAAATTCTAAACCGATTTGAAAATAAAAAAAAAATCTTATTGAAAAAATATATATGTGTGTATATTAATTTTAAACAAATAATGTCTATAAAAAAGAAAATAAAAATAAAAGAAATAATAATCTATTCAGATTAGTTCCAAAGAAATTTTATTAAAATTAGTATTTAAAAATCAAAATAACTGATTTTATCACAATTAAAGTTTTTTTTTTTTAAATATAATTTTTAATTATTTAATGTTTATTATTATGGCAAACAAGCTGCTGCACCTGGTAGAAAATGGCAACCGTCGCCTACAAACATAAATGGCATCATAGACATGTCAAATACTCGTAGTGCCTCTTGGCATTGTCATTCCTAAGGCCTATGGTGTTCTCCGTACCCTGTAAATTCATTGCCATATCTCACCGTTTAAACCGAAACACAGGAAAGCTCGTTTGACTCCTGTAATATATAAAAAAATTATTATATTAAGTATTAGCGACATATGGAAACTTACCACCCAAATGTATTTTTTGAATAACGCTTTATAAGATATTGCTACCAAAAGCCACATAAAAATAAAGTACAAATTCATATAGGAATAGTTCCAATTATCAATAATTGCTATACGTCGTCTGAAAATAAATTTTAACCTTTATTAATATTTAAAATTTTAATTTAATAACTACCGGTACTACTGCCACGAGCACCCACAGGCCAGGTCGTGTTCAGCGGACCCAGGCGTACATCTAGTCGCGCTCGCGTCACATCTAGTCGCGCTTGTGTCACAGCCGTCGTGTAAGTGTCTTGTGTGCGCGTGCACACACACACACTCACGTTCACTCACACAATGTCATGTGTGAGTCACATAGCATCATGTGCGCTTATATATATCATAATAAGTAATAATAATATCTTATAGAAGATACCTTAATACGCCCTTTTTGAAGAACCCTATACTGTAGTCTTTAGAGAAAACCTCAGGAGGTTTACACAATACATGCACACACACAATTACCCAATCTACAGGTTGAGCGTCCGCGGTAGGAGATTCCTCCGAAACAGCACTTTACGCGGCCATTTATGTTTTTACGTGTAAGAATGAAATCCCTGTTAATAGATTCAGTATTTATTCATATAGATAAGGATGACCGGTCTCGGCATAGAATAGGCCATCCCGTTCTTTTCTGCGGTTTCGTAAGTGGCGACTAAGGTAGTCCGAGAGATAGGTAAGTAGTGTTGCTCTTAAAACATTGAAGCCAAACTGCGGTTGCCAACTCGCCAGCCAAGCGTCGCAACTATTGGCAAAACTCCCCTTATGGGGTAGGCTTATGTTCAGCAGTGGACGGTTAATGACAGAAATGATTATGATGATGATGATAAATAAGGATATTAACTTAAAATAAATATTATAAATGCCAGGTTGCCAGGTTGTCTGTAAGAGATTGCTTTTAGTGATAAGGCCGCCTTTGATGATGATGATGTGCACAATAAAGAGTTTATTATTATTATATTATTACTATATACGCTATAGCGTATTACTTACGGGCCGAGTATTATTATTATACTAACTTAAAATAATCTATAGATGCAAGTTGAAAATATTCTTCGTCAGCTGTAGCATAGAAGGTGGAACGAAATACCGTTGAATTGCTCTCGAATTTTTTAGAAAACTCTTCCAATACGTAACAATTGACTGTAATATTAAGATTTTCTATATAAGTAGATTTTTTGTCACATCTGTAATAAAACGGATTTTTTACTTAAAAAAAATAAGAATTAAAATCGTTTCTGAATGATAATTCCACGAGGGTTACTTCGTATATTATATAGTATAGTATAATTATGTAATAAAAATATATAAATTGCTATCATCAACATCTTTCTTTTTAAAGTTGGTTAAAAAATTGTATAAGCTACTGCGAGTCTTTCAAACCGAAACACAGCTATACAGCTGTGTTTCGGTTTGAAAGACTGTATAAAGCAATGGAATTACAAGGTACAGATGTTCAATACCATAAACCTCAGAAATGGCGAAGCTTGAGACTATTAATAGCATTGGTGTCACAGTATATTCTACGATGTCCATGTCTTTATGCAACGGACTACTTTTCATGAGGTGGGTGTGGAAATAAGCTGTCGTATTTGCTGTTTGTTTGGAAGGCAACATGATTCACTGTGAGGAGAAGCGTTATTTTTTTCACTGGGAGCCAATGCATATGTGATCAAATTGTTTATCATTTTCAAGATTGAACTTTGATACTACACATGCACACTTTCATGCTCGCACACACATGCACATACACACACGCATGCACGCACGTACTCACACACACACACACACACACACACACACACACACACACACACACACACACAGACCTCCACTAAATGGAGTGACGACCTGAAATGCATTGCAGGGAGTCAGTGGATGCAAGTGGCTCAGCACCGTTCTTTATGGCAGTCTATGGGGGAAACCTATGTTGAGCAGTGGACGAATAATGGCTGAAATGATGATGATGAAATCTTTATTATTAACTTGTGAGAATGAGTGTCACTACCTAACATAGAAAATTATTGTATTCTAGTTTGGATGCTGTAGATTCAACTATTATTTGATAACATTTATTCTATAGTTTAATTAAAATTGTGTGGAAATATATAAATATATTATTTTAAACTATAGAAATAAATAAATTATTAATACATTTTTACTATTATTACCTGTTCCATGGATTCTTATACAGTATTCCACATATAGCATAGTCCAATAGAAATATAGCATTGTCGATGTAACAAAAGATTTCCATTATCGCAGTTATGATGTAAACAATGTTGAGACCTGGAACCGTCCATAATAAACCATTAATGCCCTACAGCTTGACATGGAGTCTGTCCCATAAGAAGAGGATATAACTAGATATAACCATGTTATACAGATAGCTTGAGTTACTCTTGTACTAGTACTTGTACTAGTACTTGTACTATGCTTTTTTCATAGTTACCTGTTAAGGGGTGATACTTTCCACTTAGAGGCATTTATTTATTTATTCATAGGAACACCAATAGCAGATTGCATTATAATATATATCCTTTTCCATCCCATACACTTTTTATTCCTGTTAATAAATATATTCCGGTCACGCGGATCAAGTTACAGGTAAATTTGAGATCGATTTGTAATACTTTTCTTTTTCGTTACCATTACTGATTTTAAATTGAAATATTTTCGAACTACATTAATGATGGCCTCCAAACTCGTGGAAGGACTCATAGAGCAACTTTGTCGTTTCAAGTATTTTATAATTTGATGTCTGATAACATACACTTTTATAAATAACTAGCTTTTATCCATAACTTCGTTTGAGTAGAAATCGTACTTTATAAATGTAGAAAAATCTTATTTTTGACCGAAAACATAATTATCATGTAATTGTACAGATCCAGGCCTAGAATAGGCCACTCTATCCTTTGGGAGCCGTGAGAGGCGACTAAGGGAGCTGATGGTCGAGCAATGGGCAGCAGCGTCCCTTTTAAAACAACAACAAATCATATAGAAATACATTTTATGTATACTGATTGAACTCGGGGAAAATAATGGCAAATCTTGCTTTATTTTTATATACTTACTTCAAATCTATTGTAACATAAGTTTAAATATCTAGTAGGCAGTCTTTACCAACATTACAAATATAAAAATGAGTTTGTTTCAACAACAACAACATTTGATATATAAAATAAAAATAAAAATTTATAAATTTATAAACACTTTATAGACAACAGTTTATAAATGTAAAGATGGCATTTATTAAAATGACTTACCCCAACATACAGGCACCATTTTAGGCAAAAAGAAATGTTCTTCGGCGGCGTAGGAAGCCAGGAAAATGTATACGTATGTGTGCGGTAGGCTCTTGAAGAATAAATTAAATATGTAATACCAAAGAAACCTGTAAATTAATATTTTCAGAAGCATTGCATTAAATTATAGGATACATAGGCTAATAGGCTAGGGGCCTCCATTACAAATGGACTCTTTTCACGAATGGGCAGAATTAGGCAGAATCTACTAATATTTTGAAATATAGCAATCATAGAATATGTAAGTACAAAAGTCGATTGCTTGGGTACCTCTGTCCCATTTGTGTTTCAACCATGAAGCAGTTGTGTTTGCATGGCTGTGTTTCGGTTTGAAGGGTGGGATATGGCGTGAATTTACTGGGCACAGAGGAATAACACCTGAGTCCTCAGGAATGGCAACACATGGGGGGTATCATGGGCGAAATAGTATACTCTGTTATGTCTTTGGTACTGCTCATGTCTATAGGCGACAGTTACCACTTTTCATCAGGTGGGCCGTCAGCTTGTTTGCCATTCTAAGTTGTAAAAAAAAAAAGTAATACCAAAGATAACTGTAAATTAAAATTAATAATTTATAAAAGCTCTGTATGTAAGCACATAATCGTTGAGAAGAGGAATAAACAAACACTATGAATTGGTCGGTCACGCAAACAAAGTCGCGGCCAAAAAGCTAGTTTTATAAAAGGACCTGTTGAATCGCACATGTTGCATACAAATGATCTGCGTTTTGGACGGCGACGTCACTTGACAGCGATAGTAGGCTAGCTTCTGCGGTCGTGTCGCTGGTATAGTTGGACGGTTTGAGGGGGTTTGTTTCTGTAAAATTTGTATTAAGATAATAAAATATATCTATATAAAATTTTTTTGTTATACCATTGAGGTGTCAAATAAGTATAAAGTCCATTTGATGGTAAACGATTACCGTAGCATATGGACGCTTACAACATCAAGGACATAACGCGCGCGTTGCCAACCCTGAAGAAACCTCTTTACACCTTTTTTGAAGAACTTCATGCTATAGTCTGCCTCTGTAACCTCTCTGTAACCGCGCTTTATGCGTATATTCAGGCTCTACCAAGGTATGGCATTAAACTCCTTGTCGATGGCGAGCAATACGATATTAGCAAGTGGCCGTGGATTACATATTGCACAATATCTTTGAACAGTCTGTTGTACAAGCGGTAGAAAACGTAGAGTATTTACGCAAAATTTCTCTTAAGACTTTGCGTAAATGAAATCATAGGCTCGATTCCCGATCGAAACCAATTTCAGGAAAGAACTATTCCAAATTATTTCCAGTCAGGATGTCTTGAGTATGCTAACAGATGTTCATTGCTTGATTTCTTACAACGTAGAGAATCCAGTTTGAGGTCATACTGGTGTGATTATGTAGCACTTAGTATAATTACTATTGAGTGTCAAACGCCTCACATATCTGATACTTGCATACCTGTTTCAGGGACTTGAAACCTGGCTCGAATAGAACATGATCTATTTGAACTTTAATAGTTAAATAGTGTACAGCGGCGTCCCTCTTATATCTAATATCATGAAAGTCTAACTGCGGTTTCCAATCTGCTTCCTAAAAAGGGAACTACTGGTAACCATATATAGACCTAACGAGTCGACCCACCATGCCATCACCAGTTTTAAACATTATAGTGATTTTAAACATACGCAATGACGTCAAAAGTATCAAAAATGCTTGCAACACGAGAGACATCACTCGCATTGTTGATTTGGCCATAAATTTTTTTAAGATACAGCTCCAGGTACCTAGTAATTTCATTTTTATATTCCTATCCAAACCAGAATACAGAAAGTAAACTGCTTAGCAGCAGAAATAGTTTAATTTGAGTAGAACTAACGACCTACATAGACGACTTGCAAATTCCTTTAAGAAAATTGTTTTCTTTTTGAAAAGACGTGCAACATACATGCAATTCCTTTAGTGTTGCAGTATTAGTTACTTGTTAACTCATTTGACCCTGTACTAAAAAAATATTCACTGCTCTACAGGGACTGAATTCTGAACACAATTTTTAATAGAATTTTCGAAATAATATTTTGTGTAAAAATTATAATTAATAACCTTTGCACCTTTAGACCTTATTTCAAATAATTTTCCTTTCAATTGAAAGGGTTTCCTTTTGTATTTAAATTTCATATAAATTTTAATGAAATTTAAAATCATTCTCTGTGGAACAAAACCGTCAATTGTTCGTTATTTTCATTGGCACGAAATAGAATTCCATCCATTAAATTTATTTAAACACAATTGAGATTTTTCTTTAATTTTTCCTACAATAGAAGAAAAACAATTGAGAGATTATTAAGTGTGACAATAACGTTAATTTATCACGTGTTCGAATTTTTGAAAAAAGAATACAGATATCAAAAGAGCGGGAAAAATTCATGCTGTGCCATATTATTTCTGAGAAAAAGTGTCATTTGTCGCTTATTCAACTCAAATTTGAGTGACACGATTGTGATTTACGTATACAGAAGTCGGTTTTCACTTATTTTTTATTCATGTACACGTACTTAAATACATTTTCTTTCGTGTTTACATAGAAACTGTGTAGGAAGTGCGTACATCTCAGTGTGGGTGGTGGCAGCCTCCGTTTCACTAGTGTTTTTTTTAGCCTATTCTTTTGTAATAGAATTACTGTTTTAGCTAAGCTAGGCGTGTATATTACATTATTATAATATAATTTAGGCTTTTATGGCAAATAAGAAAAAAAAAACTTCGATCCTATTAAAACAAATTATTTTCATTTAAATATTAAACTACTGAATTGATTTTAATAAAATTTCTATAAAACTGATTTCAAAGCGTATTCTTTTGGAATAAGATAAGAAATTTTCTAAATATTAAGTTAGTATGATGGAGTTATAAGGTAACAAAAGATAATCATCTTTTTGTCCATTTCTTTTTACACATAGATTTCAAAAACTAAAAAATAAATAGATTTCTTCTATATGGCGTATTAAGATAAGAAGATTTTAAATTTAATCTTCGAAAAATACAACTGTGAAAACTAAATCCATTTTGCTGTAAGTAGTTTTTGCATAATCTCGAGACAAACGTACAAAGAAACAGAGATGTAAAATTTATAAAAAAGATATTGTTTCAGATTGAATTGCTCTTATTTATCACATCGGCCGTTAACTGCCCAATGCTTAACATAGATCTCTGTCTATTGGGGGGTTTTATTAGAAGTTGCTATACTTGACAGGCAGATTTCAAGTTTCAATGTTTCAACAGGTTTCAACCGTGAAGCAGCTGTGTTTGCATGGCTGTGTTTCGGTTTGAAGGGTGGAATATGGCGTGAATTTACTGGGTACAGAGGAATAACACCTGAGACGTCAGGAATGGCAACGCATGGGGGGTATCATGGGCGAAACAGTATACTCTGTTATGTCCATGGTACTGCTCATGTCTATAGGCGACGGTTACCACTTTCCATCAGGTGGACCGTCAGCTTGTTTGCCATTCTAAGTTGTATAAAAAAAAATTGGCAACCGCGATTAGGATTTGCGGGTATTTTAAGTGGGACGTTCCTATGACCATTCAGTTCCCTTAGTCGCCTCTGACGACACCTGCAGCAAAGGAACGGACGATCCATTCTATACGGGGATTTTACAGCATTTCTCTTATTAAAATCTCTTATATCAAATTCTCTAAATTTCCTTATGTAGAGACACCAGCTAGTTTTATCATATAAAAAGTATAATTTTATTAGACAAATAAAATAAGATGATGCCAGAGATGTTTTCTCCCACGAACACTCAGGTTATAAAATGAGCTCCCTGCCGAGGTTTTCCCAAAAGACTACAGCATGGGAGTCTTCAAAAGGGTGGTAAAGAGACTTTTCAGGGTCGGCAATGCGCGCGTAATACCCCTGGTATTGCAGACGTTTATAGGCTACGGTAACCGCTTACCATCAGGTGGACCGTACGCTTGTTTACCACCTCAGTGGCATAAAAGAAAATGTGAGTCGCATAAACAGTGTAAAGGGACACGGCTCACTGTCTACGTGCAATGCTGCTGGTTAGTTCTTTACTATTCATCAGTCATTAGCATTTAGTTTCTCGTCAAATGCGTGAATATTCAAAGTGGGTGTATTCAAAGAAGCCAGCTTATATAGTGCGAATTGTATAATTTATGTTTCTGTCCCTCTGTAGATAAGTATGACTGTTTTTAGTTTATGTTACTATATATAGTTTAAATTACTATATTTCCAGATTTCTGTGGCCGTGTGGTCCCGGCATAGAATAGAACACCCCGTCCTTTCCCGTGGGTGCCGTAAAAGGTGACCAAGGAAAATTAAAGGTCGAAGGATAGGCATCAGCGTCGCTCTTAGATCACCACCAAAGCCTAACTGCGGTTGCTAATCTTCCAGCCAAGCGTGGCAACTACTGGCAACTTCCCCATTAGCAATTCATCATATCCGCCTTTAACTGTCCACTACTGAACATAATCCTTCTCCTTGGGGGGTTTTTGCCAGCAGTTGTCACACTTGGTAGACGGGTTGACAACCGCAGTTAGGCTTTAGAGACGTTTAAGGATGTTGCTGCCCATTCCTCGCCCTCTCTTAGTCGATTATTACAATATTACTGTGTCCCGTGGCCTATTCTACGCCGGGACCACACGGCATTAGCAATTATTAATTCATAAATATAAACCAAATTATTACCTTCTGTACCAGATGCAAATTATTCTTTTGTGATTGAAGATATATCGTGGAACCTTTTGTTTCAAAAGACAGAGCACTCGTTCCACCCATTTGCCATTGAGGTGTCGCCGTCATTCTCTCATTATCATTGTACCCCAAGGTTTCCTCCATTTTGGACAATTTATATAGATAATATAAAAAATATAAAATAAAAATTTACAGACGAGTCAGAAATGCAACATAGCATTTAAAAAGTGACATTTCTATTAACAGAACTACACAGTAATCCATAGACAGCAAAAAACTCAGATAAATTCATTGTTGATGGAATTATTTTTTTTATTTAACTGATAGGTTGACTAAATATTGTTTAGATTGATTTATTTCTTCCACGTACAACCACGCTTTGGAATCTTTTTCTAGCAGCTGTATTTCCGAAGCGATACATCATCATAACGTTTAAGAAAAGAGCATGTTTTCTTCATCTACCATTTTCATTCTCTCCTGTTGTATGTGTGCTTTTAAGTATGTATATATTTGTTTATATATATATATATATATATATATATATATATATATATATGTCTTTTTTCTTTTCTTTCTTTCAAAGTCTGGATGAGATTGCTTAGCGATAAGATCTATTTTTCCTTTTCTATCACGTCTCATTAAAATGAACTTGACTAAATTATTTACTATTTTATAAATGGTGGAATAAAGTATAAAATAAATAAATAAATAATCGTTTACAAAAACCAAGAGTACACCTGCAATGACACTGGTGTTGCAGGTCCTATAAGAAAAATGATCAATTGGCTGATCGTATCGAACATAATCATACAAGAACATCTACTTAATAGTAAAAAAACAACGTGATTGAAGTACGAATGAAACAATACCCTTCTTCTCGAGAATTTCGAGTAAAGGCAATCTCTGGTAACCTCTATCAGGCGGGTTATCCACAGATAATATTGCCCGTATAATACCTATGTTAATAGAGATCGTATCTAACAATAGATAACAAGTGAAGTTCCTGGCCTCAAGGGCTGAATCGGCCGTCTAATGACGCGGTAATAAATTGTAAACACTAATCCTTAGCTCTCCGTTTGTAATTAAACCAAACCACAGTTCAAGGTATCTTCTTGTTGTGAATATTCAAATCGATAAAAGTAATTAATATTTGTATTATACATAACTAGGAAACATGTATTATGTATTGTATGTATGTAGGAAATATATATGTTTCCTGAAATCGTACAATAATCAGTGAGGTTTCATAGAATCCGGCTTCTTTAACACACGCCTATTCTAGTTAGAATAGCTAACATACCTTTCTTGTTTTAGACTTATAATAATTTTATTTGCTACGATTTCGGGTATAATGTACCATATTTGATTTTATAAATTAAAAGTACCTTACAAAATCTACTTAGGTCAAGCGTGCAAATGTTGAAAGCAAAAATTATAAGTATTTAATTTAAAAATTTTTTGTAGCATTAAATTATCAATTGTTTAAGAAAAATATTACAGATTTACATAATGTACCACTTTCCCTTTAAACATCGTCTACCGCTTACTCTGTTTGAGTCATAGATTGCTATTTGCTCTACTATTGCAGTTGTTTTATCTAATTGTTTTATATAGTAATATTTTATATACTTATTTATTTATGTATTTATTGTATGTATATACTTATTTATTTAATATATTAGGTGTATGTTTATATTAGTTTATTTATATGTTTATATCATATGAATATATCAAGTATTGCTTTATTTTTCCTCTATTCAATAATGCACCGCCTACATATTTCTCGGTTTGCCCAATGGTTGACTGGTAGAGAACACCGTCCGGTGTTAAGTCCGTCAAATGTACATAGAATTTTACTGTGCATTAAAGTTTAAATAAATAAATAACAATAAAATTATATTAATTATTTATTTTTATTATTATTTATTCAATCAATTAAATAGTCAAAGTAAATAATATAATAATTGGATGTCAAATGGTCAACAATAAAAATGAAATGTACTAATAAAAATAAAAATGTCAATAAGTAAGGTATTAAATATAACGATAATACGTACAAATCTCCACCATTTGAATCCAACATAAAATCCTTAATAGAGTAAAAACACGATTCAACTAGCCATTCGTGGAATTTTTTTTTAAATATCACATCAGAGAGGGTTCTTAAATTATCTGGAAGATTATTAAAAATTCTCACCGCCATATTATATGGACTTTTTTTTGCGTCAACGTTAATTTTATTGTAAGTAGTTTTATTTTATTTAGAGGTCTTACAAGTTTAAAGTTAGTTTATAAAATTAAAACCCGTTTTTGGCTGTATTTATAAGAGAGTTGCGTTCGTTTGCTCATTTGGAGAGGATGGATGAAATAAGAATTACGAAAGAGATTTATCGAGCAAGAATGAATAGAGATATCAATAGGGGCCACACTAGACGGACGCACATATGTTGACCAAATAGGCAACGTGCTGAAAAAGGGCCAAATTAAAAGTACCCGTAACCGACGAGCGTGTATGAAAAGATTGATGAATGTGGAAGAAGCTAAAGAGGTTTGTTTAAATCGAAGCATTTGGAGTTCCATTGTTTCTACCTACCCTAATGGGAGACAGGCGTGACAAATATGTATGTATGTATGTCATAAGAGACTCAGCATGTAAGTTATTTTGTAAGAGTGCAGTGGATTTTTGTATTAAATAAAATAAAATATAATTTTGCTTTGCAAAGAAAGCTATTCCAGTCGTGACTAAATTAATTTTATACGAGACCAACGCTCTCGTGTTGGCCAGTAAAGGATTTTGCAAGTAATAGAGTTTACTTGTTTATGGTACTGCAGGTATAATGAGTTTACTACAACTAAGTAACTTGTGACCGTTCCTTATTGAAGTCTATGGGGAATGCCTATGTTTAGCAGTGGATAGATAATGCCTGATATGATGATGATCAAAGTTTAATATCTTAATGTAATCATCAGAATAATGTCAACATTTATTTATTTATTTATTTATTCTTTATTGCACAATAAAATTTTGTACAAATGGCGAGCTTAATGCCATATGGCATTCTCTACCAGCTAACCATTGGGTAAAAACAGAAAGCATTAGTAGTCATTAAACAGAAAGAATAAAAACATTAGTGAAGACGATGTAATTTTTTTTATGATACTTGGAATGGCAAGCAAGCTGATGGCCCACCTTTTCTTTACGTTACTGATATTAACAAAAGTATACGACCCACCTAATAGTAAGCAATTACCATAGCCTATGAATGCATGCGATACCAGAGGCATTACATGGAAGTTTTTGAACCTAAGGAAATCTCTTTGCTCCATTTGTGAGGAACCTCATGCTGTGTCTTGAGCTAATTTCGCCTGAGAGTTCATTCTATTACCTAGGCGTTTATGAGAGGAAACATATCTGAAACTATATATAAAGTCGCGATTTAAGGCTTTAAGATACGGCGGTGACCTCTCTGGCAGAGACGAACTATAAGATAGTATAAAGTAGCCATGGGTAACCAATCCAAATAATTCCTCTAAGAACAATCCAATGTATAAATGGTAAAATACGCAGGGTAAGGCAATCTCTCCTAAGACTTAAGGTAGTACACGTTCTTGTACCGATTCGAAGGGTTCAAGTTGGTATCTAGGTGCTAAGTGCCCACAAGTGACAGTAATCCTCCATATAGACTTCCCTTTATTAATCTAACCGAGTTTTTTGGATGCCAGCCTGTTAGAAAGCAGTAAGCATTGCTATATATAGAAACGACTGCTTCTGTTCATGGTACTATCACCATAAATATTACAGAATATACTATTATGCCCATGATACCATTCATATGTAGCATTCTTGACTATTCACTGCCGTATTTTTATTTGTACCACAAAGGTGATAAACAAGCATCTGTTTGTCTGATGGTAAATGGCATTTTATTGCTTTACAGTAGAAACACAAGTGGAACAAAGGTATATTAAAAATGCCACAAAAATTTGCAGTCTAAAATTACATATTCCTACCTGCAAAATAATATTCATATTCCAACAAATATTGTTTAGTAAATTGCACAAAAAGAAACATAAAATCTCAATATGTTCAATATTTCTTGAGATTATTTAAGTTATAAACATTTCTAACATGTATTGATATCAGAAAAGATACAATTTATTTCAAATCGAGCACTTATGATAAATCAATATTACAGAACAGAGATTAAGGGAGGCAACGAGCGTCTGGATTTATTTTAGACGACTAGGCGACTCCGCTGATGTGACACTGTAATGAAATATGGCTGTCTTCCAGTTTTATTAACAATTCAATGCGCTTAGATACGCTGGATTCGAACTTGGTATTACAATGTTTAAGAATCGCTCTTGACACCGAATTATAGCGCGCATCCTATTAACTGAGAAAATAGTAGTTTATGTTCTCTGATTAATTTAATTGAGCTACCTATCAAGATTTAAAATTCAGTATGGGACCCTTGAAGTTTGGCTTCTTAAATTTTCTTCAGGTCTAGTACTGCAAGTACCACGGTAACCATTGATTATCATCCGGTGGAATATATGGTTTTGCACAATCTTTAATCTTTAATCTTTTGCATAATAAAAAAAAACTATTAATGCAACAAGAACAAACTTCATATATATGCATATATGTATGTATATGTATGTATGTATGTATATATTTGCTATTTTGTTTAAATGGTTCAATAAAGAGTAAATAAATAAATGTTCCAGGGAAACTTCTTTGGTTTCTGTAGCCTGATTGACAGAAGATTTTTTTTTATACAACTTAGAATGGCAAACAAGCTAACGGCCCACCTGATGGAAAGTGGTAACCGTCGCCTATAGACATGAGCAGTACTATGGACATAACAGAGTATACTGTTTCGCCCATGATACCCCCCATGCGTTGCCATTCCTGAGGACTCAGGTGTTATTCCTCTGTACCTTGTAAATTCACGCCATATCCCACGCTTCAAACCGAAACACAGCCATGCAAACACAACTGCTTCACGGTTGAAACACGAACGGGACACAGCTACCCAAGCAATCGACTTTTGTACAAAGTTACAAATAGAAGATATGTTGACAAATCTGAACCTGGATTATCAAATCCTTTATCCATAAAGATATTTTCTTGAGTATCACCTAAGCAAATGAACAAATTATTGTTATATTACATCATACATTAGTATACTTTTTGATAATAATATATTGTAGTAACAAA